GCCGCCGCCGCCGCCGCCCGCCGCCGCCGCCCACCGCGCTTGCATTCTCACGTGCCAGAGCTCCTTCGCCGAAGCGGACTTTTGAAAAATCCGTCACGCTATCTGCTCGGAGCACCTCTCCACGCCCCCGCCCGAAGACACCCTTTGACATTCCACAGCGCACACGGGGGAGGGAGTATTTGGCCACCAGGGCTTCGAGAAGCTGCCGGCTGAAAGCCTTCGACTTAACGTATCGCGGCGCGCCCTGGCGCCAGCGAGGCCTTACAGGCGGCGCCCGCCTCCGCCTGCCCGCCACCGCCACCCCACACGCACGCGCCGCGCCGCTCCTCGCCGCTCGGCGCGGCGCGGCGCGGCGCGCAGGCCGGCGCCCGGTGGGTTGGCAGCCGTGCCAGCCGCCGCACGGCGCATGCGCGAGACTGAGGTCAGCGTCGGCGAGCCGATGGCGGCGGCGGCGGAGGAGGATGAGGGGTCCGGCGGGGGAGGGGGACGCGAGGCCGGCGCCGTCGCCGCCTCCGTCGCCAGGCCTTTCCGGCGCCAGCGCGCCTCTACTACCCGTGTCGAAAGCGCCGGCGCCGCCGCTAGGCCGCATGAGAGAGGTCTCTGCGCACACGTTGCGCCGCGCTGGCCCAACGCGCGCGGCCCTCTTGAAGGACGCGGAGGGCGATTCGCGACAGCACGCGCCTGGCGACTCTTACCATTACACATTTAACTCCGACAAAGACACAACAATGTATAACACACAACAATGTATTCGCACTAAACAAAACAAAGTATGCAAACATAACAATATGTTTTGTCTAGTGGTTCTTGAGTGTAGCCAATGAAAGGAAACTTAAATAAAAGAAGACCATAAACTCAAGAATCACTAGACATAATTCCAACAGGTCAAGAATCCTTAATATAACAGTGTATTGCACACTAACAATTTGACAATCGTTGCACTTCCAGACTCCTTTACCTCTACGAACAAAATGAACAACACACTATATCCCGAAAAACAATAGTGTGAGAAGAAGTACTGAATTACAAAACAAGTGCGCAAATCACCTCGCACACGTGTTGCGTATTTTTAGAAACCCGGTTGTCGCACATGGATCGTGATGCTTCGTGGCCGCTTTTAAGTTTTTTTAAGCACAATTTGTTAGAGCAGTTTCACATTCCGAACACAAGCACAAGAAACTGTTCTGCCCACAGAATGTTGAAAATGTATTTCAATTAACACTGAAAGAAAAAAATTAACTTATTCGTATAAAGTTATAAATTATAGTATTTTTGATGATTATTGATATTAAGAACGAGTAATTACACATCAACAAAAAGGGAAGCAAGTTTTCCAAAACACTAGTAATATGAGCAAAAAACTAACACCGTGCGCACATTATTAAATTTAAAAAGCACACTAAAATATGATACACATTTAATTCCGAGTCAATAAATAAAATATGAACGCGTTTTGGAATTTGCCGGAATATAATACAAAATCCAATTATATAAAATCTAACGGAAAATTTAAGATCAAAATTTTAAAAAATCCCAAATGTCCAATTACATCAATACCATGAAATTATTAAGAAAAAAATATTCAATTTGATTTCTGCTGCTTCCTTTATAGTTTTTTTAAAATACATTTACATTCAAGAAAAATCATTCACGCTCAGAAAACGGTAAAGGAGATAATCCTAATGCGGCCAGTTGCTTCGCAGAATTGTAGTGATGAACAGGTGACTCGATTGGAATTTTGACCTGAAGATATCTGTCAATTACGCAACGATATAGAAGCTTACAAAACATACAAATATATTGATATAAATGATTGGAGTTGTCAGTATAGTCTGCACCTCCTTACATCAGTATTTTTTTTGTGAAACGATTTGCGTCCGTTTTTAATTCAAAGGTCAACGGAATAATTGTTATCATCACGGAATAAATGAGCACTTTCAGATTGTTCTACAATCCGTTCAGAATTATTTTTTTTACTCAACGTTACTAACGTGCATGAAGTACGAAATGAGATTCCTTACTAATTTTATTAGGAACGTTAGTGCTCATTGGAAATATTTCGGTAATACGGTATCTTGATTTCTTCATAAGTGTGTGTGTGGTGTGTGTGTGAGGTGTGTGTGTGTGTGTGTGTGTGATAGTTTGTATTTGAATTTTATAGTTACAAGATCTGAAAAAGTAAAACAATCACATTTTTTCATAGTTTTATAAACGTTTAAAAATCCCTCGAAAACCAAAAGTTAAATATTGGTTGTTGTTCGTAGAATGCATTTCTTGGTAAAACTATCGTTGAATTTGAACTTACATTTGAGAAAATTGAGATTTTTTCAAGCCAATTTGATTGACATCCAATACGCAGCGCAAGGTGCACGAAGATTAAAATAAGAACAAGATTGCACATTTCCTCTTTCTTTTGTTTGTGTTTGTTTGAATATGTTATTAGTATCGTGTTGCCAAATTCTCAATGAGCCCCGTATCGAAATTACGGCTACCTTCACCGTTTTGATGTTTTACTTTGAACAAATCATTGGGTGGAAATCGTCATCACAGGAGGGTCCATTACACGCAACATAAATATTTCCGCCGCTTGAATGAAAACGAGAATAATTCGCGAACAAGTGTCAACGTCAACAGTGAGCTCCGGCACTACGAGACAGAAATCCACGCTTCTAGAATCGATAGTGCATCAATCGAACATCAAAATTGATGGTGCAATCAGAAAAGAAATTAAACCTTATCACAATCATTTGAACATAAACTACAGTTAGTCTTTCCGCTCCAGAAAGAAAATTCGCAGCGAGTGAACAAGCTTAGTGCTGCCGCCATCTACGCGGCGCGGCGGGCGGCGGGCGAGCGTGCGTGCGTGCATGCATGCGTGCGCAGCGCGGTGGCGCCACAGGCTCGGGCGGCGGCGGCGGCGCGCGCGCGGCGGCGGCGGCGGCGGCGCGCGTCGAAGATACTTTTGCTCAGAGCCAGATCACAACCCTCGCACTTTCCTCGCCCTCGGCAAGTAAACAAGGTCTCTGTCGGGCCTTTGTTAGGACGATTCTACCTGCGCAGAGGGCAAGCTCCGCTAACTTCCGCCAGGCGCGCTGATCCGATGCGCCGTAACGGAACAACCGCAACTGCTTCAGACCTGCCGCACAGACTAACGGCTGACAAACGACCAAGCCGCCGCCGCCTGCCTGCCGGTATTCACACAATGCCACCGAACTGTTGTAAATGTACAATTCTCCCGAAATCCAACCTGCGCGTCAATCTCGCGCGGACGGCCCCGGCGCCCGGTGGGTTGGCAGCCGTGCCAGCCGCCGCACGCGCATGCGCGAGACTGAGTCAAGGTCGGGCGAGCCGATGGCGGCGGCGGCGGAGGAGGATGAGGGGTCCGGCGGGGGGAGGGGACGCGAGGCCGGCGCCGTCGCCGCCTCCGTCGCCAGGCCTTTCCGGCGCCAGCGCGCCTCTACTACCCGTGTCGAAAGCGCCGGCCGCCGCCGCTAGGCCGCATGAGAGGGTCTCTGCGCACACGTTGCGCCCGCGCTGGCCCAACCGCGCGCGGCCCTCTTGAAGGGACGCGGAGGGCGATTCGCGACAGCACGCGCCTGGCGACTCTTACCATTACACATTTAACTCCGACAAAGACACAACAATGTATAACACACAACAATGTATTGCGCACTAAACAAAACAAAGTATGCAAACATAACAATATGTTTTGTCTAGTGGTTCTTGAGTGTAGTCAATGAAAGGAAACTTAAATAAAAGAAGACCTAAACTCAAGAATCACTAGACATAATTCCAACAGGTCAAGAATCCTTTAATATAACAGTGTATTGCACACTAACAATTTGACAATCGGTTGCACTTCCAGACTCCTTTACCTCTACGAACAAAATGAACAACACACTATATCCCCGAAAAACAATAGTGTGAGAAGAGTACTGAATTACAAAACAAGTGCGCAAATCACCTCGCACACGTGTTGCGTATTTTTTAGAAACCCTGTTGTTTCGCACATGGATCGTGATGCTTCGTGGCCGCTTTTAAGTTTTTTAAGCACAATTTGTTAGAGCAGTTTCACATTCCGAACACAAGCACAAGAAACTGTTCTGCCCACAGAATGTTGAAAATGTATTTCAATTAACACTGAAGAAAAAAATTAACTTATTCGTATAAAGTTATAAATTATATGTATTTTGATGATTATTGATATTTAAGAACGATAATTACACATCAACATAAAAGGGAAGCAAGTTTTCCAAAACACTAGTAATATGAGCAAATAACTAACACCGTGCGCACATTATTAATTTAAAAAGCACACTAAAATATGATACACATTTAATTCCGAGTCAATAAATAAAAATGAACGCGTTTTGGAATTTGCCGGAATAATATACAAAATCCAATTATATAAAATCTAACGGAAATTTAAGATCAAAATTTTAAAAAAATCCCAAATGTCCAATTACATCAATACATGAAATTATAAGAAAAAAATATTCAATTTGATTTCTGCTGCTTCCTTTATAGTTTTTTAAAATACATTTACATTCAAGAAAATCATTCACGCTCAGAAAACGGTAAAGGAGATAATCCTAATGCGGCCAGTGCTTCGCAGAATTGTAGTGATGAACAGGTGACTCGATTGGAATTTGACCTGAAGATATCTGTCAATTACGCAACGATATAGAAGCTTACAAAACATACAAATATATTGATATAAATGATGTGGAGTTGTCAGTATAGTCTGCACCTCCTTACATCAGTATTTTTTTTGTGAAACGTATTTGCGTCCGTTTTTAATTCAAAGGTCAACGGAATAATTGTTATCATCACGGATAAATGAGCACTTTCAGATTGTTCTACAATCCGTTCAGAATTATTATTTTTTACTCAACGTGTACTAACGTGCATGAAGTACGAAATGAGATTCCTTACTAATTTTATTAGGAACGTTAGTGCTCATTGGAAATATTTCGGTAATACGGTATCTTGATTTCTTCATAAGTGTGTGTGTGTGTGTGTGTGTGTGTGTGTGTGTGTGTGTGTGTGATAGTTGTATTTGAATTTATAGTTACAAGATCTGAAAAAGTAAAACGATCACATTTTTTCATAAGTTATTATAAACGTTTAAAATCCCTCGAAAACCAAAAGTTAAATATTGGTTGTTGTTCGTAGGAATGCATTTTCTGGTAAACTATCGTTGAATTTGAACTTACATTTGAGAAAATTGAGATTTTTTCAGCCAATTTGATGAACATCCAATACGCAGCGCAGGTGCACGAAGATTAAAATAAGAACAAGATTGCACATTTCCTCTTTCTTTTGTTTGTGTTTGTTTGAATATGTTATTAGTACGTGTTGCCAATTCTCAATGAGCCCCGTATCGAAATTACGGCTACCTTCAGGTTTTGATGTTTTATTTGAACAAATCATTGGTGGAAATCGTCATCACAGGAGGGTCCATTACACGCAACATAAATATTTTCCGCGCTTGAATGAAACCGAGAATAATTCGCGAACAAGTGTTCAACGTCAACAGTGAGCTCCGGCACTACGAGACAGAAATCCACGCTTCTAGAATCGATAGTGCATCAATCGAACATCAAAATTTGATGTGCAATCAGAAAAGAAATTAAACCTTATCACAATCATTTGAACATAAACTACAGTTAGTCTTTCCGCTCCAGAAAGAAAATTC